TCCATCCCAGGTGTTAGATTTCATCATGTCCTGCTGGACAAGGATTTGACCTATGAGGAGGAGCCGATAGCCATTTTAGACAGGCAGGTTCGTCAGTTGAGATCGAAGAGCTATCCTTCGATTCGTGTGCAGTGGAGAGGTCAGCCTGTTGAGGCAGCTACTTGGGAGTCTGAGTCCGATATGCGGAGCAGATACCCCCATCTTTTCACTAGCTCAGGTACTTCTCTATGTCCGTTCGAGGACGAACGGTTGTTTTAGAGGTGGAGAATGTGATGACCCAAAAGGTCATCTCGTGTTTTAGAATTCGGGGTTCCGAGGCCTTCAAAACCTCATTTTATTCTCCTCGATTTGTGTGCACAGTCCGGGCGCATTTCAGGAAAGCCTTTATCTGGAAATTTGAGAAAATAATAATTTCCTTTAAAAGTTGAATTTAGTTGACTTCGGTCAACATTCTGAGTAAACGGATCAGGACCCGTGTTTTGACGATCCCGGCGGGTCCGTAGTAAAATATGGGACCTAGGCGTATGCCCGGAATCGAATTCCGACGTCCCTAGCCCGAGAAATAAATTTTTGATGAAACTTGTTAAACTGGAATTATAAAGGTTTTATGAATTTGGTTAATGATTGATTTTATTGATACCGGGTCCATATTGTTGTTCCGGTACCCGGTACAGGTCCATTATGTTATTTATACCTTATCTATGAAATTTGGTGAGAAACGGAACTGATTTGATGTGATTCGGACCTTTGGTTGAGAAAATAGAAGTTTTGAAACTTTCTTGAAAATTTCATGCAATTTGATGCTAAATTCGTAGTTCTAGGTATTATTTTGGCGATTTGATCGCGCGAGCAAGTCCGTATGGTGTTTTAAGACCTGTGTGCATGTTTGGTTTGGTGCCCCGAGGGCTCGGGTGAGTTTCGGATAGGCTACGGGGTGATTTACACTTAGAAATCTGGTGTGTTTTGCTGCGGTCAGTGTTTCTGGTTTTTCTTCTTCGCGTTCGTGAAGATACTCTCGTGAATGCGAAGTGTAACATGGTCTGGGGAGGGGATTGTTCATCGCGAACGCGTAGCCATGGTCGCGAACACGGAGCACTGGGGGGCTGCTCTTCGCGAACGCGACCGGCATCACGCGAACGCGTAGAGTAAAATAGAGGTGGGCTGGGGAATCATTGAGTTGCTCTTCGTGAACGCGGTCCCAGGCTCGCGAAAATGATGGTTAGGGGGGACAGACCATCGCGAACGCGAGCAGCTCTTCGCGAACGCAGAGGCCCTTCTGGCCGCAATGCATCGCGTACGCGATAGGTCCATGCGAACGCGATGAAGACCTGTCCAGTATTTTAAAAACAAAACCAAAAACGGGATTAGGCCATTCTTTCATATTTTTAAAAACTAGAAGGCTTGGAGGCGATTTTCAATAGACAAACTCTTCCCCAAAGTGTTGGTAAATGATTCTAAACTACGTTTTTCCAATTACCCAGTGCATTTCATTAATTTTCAACATAAAATCTAGGGTTTTCATGGTTGAAATTGGGGGTTTGGGTAGAATTAGGAATTTTTGTATAATTGGAATTTAGGCCTCGATTTGGGGTCGGATTCCGAAACTAATTATATATTTGGGCTCGGGGATGAATAGGTGAATGGGTTTTGGTCCGAACCTCGAGTTTTGACCAAGCGGGCCCGGGGTCGATTTTTGACTATTTGGGGAATATATTGGGAAACTTGTAATTGTGCATTGGAATTGATTTCTTTAGCGATAATTGATATTATTAAGTTAATTGTGACTAGATACGAGTGGATTGGAGGTGGAATCTAGAGGAAAAGCGATAATTGAGGCTTGAGTTTGGCCGTGGAATCGATGTAAGTGTTGTGGCTAACCTTAGCTTGAGGGATTAGGTGTTGTTGCCTCATTTGCTATGTGTTTGGTTGTTGAGTACGGCGTGTAGGTGAGGTGACGAGTACCTATATGTTGTCGTCGAGTCATAACATGCGAGTGAGTCTTATACTTGTGACTGTTGTATTCTTTATTCGTACTGTTCATGCTTAAACTGGTTATTCTTCATGTTAAACAAATCTTATCATGTTTTTCCTAGAATTGGATATTGGTTGAGTATTGACTCAAGTTAAGATTTATATTGTGAAGTTAAATATTGAAACGAGGTTGGTTATTGATGACTCCCTTGCCGGGTTGTTGTTGTTTTGTTGTTTAGGTGAGGAAGAGTGTAAAGCACGAAGGGTGATGCCGTGCAATGTATTGTGAGTGAGTGATAATGCACGAAGGGTGATGCCGTGCCATATTCTGTGAGTGATAATGCACGAAGGGTGATGTTTTGCCATATTATAAGAGGGTTAATGCACGAAGGGTGATGCCGTGCCGGTTCTATTGTTTCTTATAGTAAGGACGAGAGTAAAAGCACGAAGGGTGATGTCGTGCACTTGTTTGCTATATTATTACTTCGTTGGTGCAAAGCATGATATTTACTGTGTTTCTTTTTGTACTATTTTCAGGATTTAATATTCCCATCAGCATGTTTTCCCCCTTCTCATTATTATCTGCTAAATTTCCATTTGTTTTTATTTTCTCGTATATGATTTAATTGCACAAGTTCATGTTATTGTCGTATCCTAGCCTCGTCACTACTTCGCCGAGGTTAGGCTCGACACTTACCAGTACATGGGGTCGGTTGTACTGATAATGCACTCTGCACTTTTTGTGCAGATTTCGGTACCGGACCGTGTTGATCTGAGTTGGGTTGCTGCCTTCAGTCCATCAGGAGACCCAAGGTAGAATTGTCGGCGTTCGCAGACCCTAGAGTCCCCTTCAATTTATCCCAGTTTTCCTGTTTTCCTTTATTTCGAGAACAAATGTATTTTTTTAAACCAGTGTTTGTAGTGACTCTTAGAAGTTCGTGAATTGTGACACCAGATTTTTGGGTTGTCGTGTATTAGTGTTTAGCTTATTATGAACTTCCGCGCTTCTTTACTTTGTTTTGGCTTAAAATATTGTTATTTACTGTTTTGGATAGCGATTAGCGTATTAGATCTTTATTTGTTGGCTTGCCTAACATTCTAAAAGTTAGGCGCCATCACGATCCCGACGGTGGGAAATGTGGGTCGTGACAATATACATGTGTGACATCACTTACAATGATGTAAGCAAGGTAGGTAAAAAGTCTTCCCTGGAAAGTTGACTGCAGCACTGTTCTTGCACTGTAGCGTCTGCAGGCAGCAACTTTCAAGCTAGAGAGTTGACTTCGCACAGTCTCCTCGGGAACTGGTAGGGACATGTTCCCTCAATTGTTCCTTTCACTCTGAAGAGTTGAATCATGTCCCATGCTGAGTCCCAACCTGGAACCTTGTGATCTTAAGGTCTTGTAAATGTGTAACAGCTTCCTTATCTGGTTCTGGATAGTAGTTTGTTTGATCATCAAAACATAAAGCAAAGTATTTATGAACAAAATACTTGTAACCTATCAGATTAGATCTTCAACCTAGATATGCATAGACGAAGAGTGAATATCATTACTTTTTGTTAGTCTAGATCGGACGCAACATAACCAATAGCAATAACATATGCCTGAATACCGTCAATAACATTAGGCATCAAATCTTTTCTTTTTCTTTTACATATTTCATTTTGATAGTAAAAGGTACAAGATGAGATGGTAAATTAAGGAACAAACTCTTCCTATGAACTAAAAACGGTATGCAAAGAGGAAAAAATCAGTCTTATGCACCTATTAGTTGGTGGTCCCATTTCATTTATTCATTAGGATTATCTCTCAGTCAATTAAGCTAGATTCATTTGTAAAAATCCCACATATAGTGCAAAGCATAGAAGGAAGTTACAAACAAATTATAGCATAATTAGGATCGAGGTTTGAATAACATATTATAGTATAGCATAGAGTAACTATACGGCAACTGTAATTACTCATTTACCAAACAGAAGGTTGAATTTACATTCTCCATGCTGTACCACACACCAGAGTTTATGGCCGTCAATTTCAAGGCTCCCAAAAAAGGGCGGCTCCAAAAAATTAGTGGAAAGCCAAATTTTAATAAGAGTCTTTACTTTTTTTTATTAGTACGTATACACACATATATGCAAAAAAAAATTAATCTTGCCATTTTTTCACACTAGTTGTTTATAGTATATATACTTAAATGACATAAAATCTGTAACTTCATATAGTAATATTATTATTTATATTAGAAAAAGATAATTTAAATAAATGAGATGTTAGACATGTATTTGCAATATGTTACCTTTGATATTGTTGTAAAAAATATATTTACTAATATGAAGATTTAAATAATGTANCAATCAAACGAAGGAGCATGCTAAACACATAGAATCAGAGTAAAGAGAATCGTGCTAACACGCGCAATCACATAGAGACAAGGCCAAGAAAATTAGTCTAACACACATAGTCAAGGCAAAGAGTCATGCCAACACCCATAATCAAACGAGTAAACATTTTTAGAAATTAGGGTTTTTAGCAGAGTCAAATTAA